CAAAAAGAAGATCATTATTTGGGTCTCCTGAAATAGTCCAGAGCCTCACAGCCTAAATCAAAGATTCACAGTGGTTGTACCAAAAAGAGCATTTGGTTGGATTTGGATGCCACTGAGTTGTACTGAATTCAGCCAGCGAGGGAAGAGGGATTCATCATGTGCTTGCACATGTATTTGTTCCCAAGCTGAGGAGCTCCCTGACTTCTGTGCWACACTCATGTTGTGTAGCACCTACCCATGTCAGACTAAGCTGTTTTGTATGAAGATCCCCAAATTTAAGGTCTTCTCCAGGTTATCAGGTTAAACTATGTATTTACTACCCCAGAGCTGAAAGTAGGGCTTTCTCTGGTCTGGTCAGAGGAAATAAAACAGCTCCACGTTGTTTTAATGTGTGTCTGTCCTTATCCACTATGTGCAAACACAGGACGGAGCTGCAAGATCACAGCTGAACACAATTTAATGAGCACACAAACTCTGGGATGTAAATCGCTCATACATGTGAAACATATTATCTCCTCACAAATGAATTAATTTTGACTTTCTGCTAACTGCTGAATGCATTCTTGTCTTTGAGAGAGAGGTGGGACTTTCTTAAATCCAGATGAAGAGTATTAAACAAGGGGTATAGGTAGTGGATATTTTTCTCAAAAGACTTTCCAGGCAGATGTCTCAAGCCTGTCCTCTGCAGTAAGATCMGCAAAATGGGCTCATTCTGTTTCTTTTTCAATTCTTACAGTTGCACTTGTATTTCTGGTCTGGAGCCTCTAAGCACTAACAGGATGGAAGAGAATTATGCCAAAAGACATGGCAGRTGAAAGAAATAATCCATGGAGGAAGTTTTAGAAATGTTGAACTCCTTCCTGWGTTTATAAATTATTGTCTTGACACAAGGTTTGTGGACCTGGGAGGATGTAGATGGCCAATTCAGTGCCCAGTCCAGCCATCAGGTCCAGACAGCTGCTCTGAAGTGCAGACAACACTTCACCCTCCACCCAAAAGATGTGTAGACTGAGATCTGCTCTCAGCTGGGCACATCGAGAGMTTTCCTTCACATTTCAATCCACCCCGCCCAAGCAGAACCCTGTTTCGACCTCCTGACTGTGCTGTGCAAACTCTGCTGAAGTGAGAGAGGCTGCCAAGCTTGGACCAGAGCCTTGAGCAATCCCATGTCCTGTCTCAGAYTCTGGCAAAGAACAAATGTGTCAGAAAAACTGCAAAACATCCAGAATAAGTAAATGCGGATCAATAGCAAGAATTTCTTTCTAACTTCCAGCAAATATTGACTTAAACTCCCAGAGCAGACATGGACAAATATTGCCTCATCAGACCTTCTGGGGAATTAAAAAAGTCTTTTCAAAGGAAAACAAAAATCTACTCTTTTTTGTTTGCTTCTATTCAACTGTCGTGAGTATTTCTCTTCTGAAGGGAAAGCTCAAGTATTTTAAGTTTTAGTCTGTCCAGAAACTGGCCTTCCCCCCTAAAAAAAAAAAAAAAAAAAAAAAAAAAAAAAAAAAAAAAAAAAAAAAAAAAAGAGCAAAAAATGCATTTGGAGCTTTACATTAGTTTCATACTGGAGAATGAAGATTTACCTCCCTTTAGAATCTTTGATTTTCTTTGTATCACAAAAAGCTAATTATTTTATTTCCTGATGCTCTTGTTATGTGCATAAATATCCACTGCCATGGTGAGAATGTGCCAGGGTCATGGCATATTATTATAGTATACTGAATTCTTTCCTGAGGCTGATAATCTCCTAAATAGTCAGTCCTGACATTTAAACAGGGACATATTTGTGGTGAGAAAAAGAGAAAATGTATCCAAAGCTGAAGGTGGCTGAATAAACAGAGCAAGGCAAAAAATTCTTGAAGTRCAACAMAGAAAAAGCTGAAATAGAGAGAGGAGTTAAGTGGGTTCTACCAATAACTTTTACATACGTGTTAACTACAGGTAACACCAGACTGTTCAACTGAAAAGTTATAACAATACAAATCTACAACTGGCAAAGCCATCATCTTTTGGCTATTCTGTTSTCCTATCCCTCAGCTACTGACAGGAGATGAGTTTAGTCCCTTCTTTAACTTCCCAGCATCCACCCTTCACTGTGAATGCCAGGCAAYTCTCATGTTCTGCCCCATCCCTTGCTCCACAATATACTTCTTCAAATAAATCACCCTCTGCAGGATGCTGTGATGTGTGTGTCAGTCCTGTGGCACAAATAAAARATTCTCAACCTGCACATCTGTATCCAAAAATGACCACAGSATCACAGTTTGTTTGSGAAATGAATCTCCAATCCAYTTCCTGGTAGGTCAGAAAAYCACTATCACCACCAGCCTTCCCTYACCCCTGTGGTGACACTGGCATGAMARTGAAAGAAAGGGAGAGGTGGAAGAGTTCAGCCTGGAAAAAACTCCAGGCAGACATYAGAGTCYCTGCCAGGGCCTAAAGGGGCTTCARGAGACCTGGAGAGGGACTTTGGACAAGGGCCTAGGGTGACAGGACAAGGATGAATGGCTYCCCACTRYCAGAGGRCAGGGTTAGATGGGATATCGGGAWGAAATTCTTSSCTGTGAGGGTGGTGAGGCCCTGGCACARGCTGCCCAGAGAASCTGTGGCTGCCCCATCCCTAGAAGTGTTCTAAGCCAGGTTGGACAGGRCTTGAAACAACCAGGTCTAGTGRAARGTGTCCCTGCCCATGGCAGGGGGTTTAGAACAAGATGGTCTTGAAGGTCTCTTCGAACCCAAATCATTCAGTGACTTCTATGGAAACAGCATCGCTGCCTTTCCCTGTAGCACATCCCTGGTGGTTGTCCCCAGGASCAGTCAGGGGACTACTGATGGGCTGCTGAATTGCAGCCAAAGATCTGGAACAATTTCAGGACTTCTCCTGGAGAGGATGGACAGAGTGATGGAGCAGAGACCATACACGACACCCAGACATGAGCAGTCAGATAACACTGCAGATGTGTCTGTGAAGGCGAACCACAGATGTTCTCCACATCTGCTACCTCATTTGAGGCAGAAAGCAGGATGGAAATCCTCACACCCAGCTCTGCTGTAAGGACAGCTCCTGATGGTTTGTGGTGGGGATAGCCTTCCTCATCTACACCAGTCTGCTACTGATTAGCAGGTAATATTTCCATCATGCCAGGCCTTCTGCAGGTTTGGAACAGAAGCAATAAAATTRTGTGGCAGTTACACTTCACTAGGAAATGCTCAGAGTTGTTGTGTTGATTAACTCAAAGAAAAAGAAGAGTTAATTGTAAAGAGGGTGGTAAAAAAGTTGCCAGACCTTTGGGGGGGGATTAAAAATGTTTTTTCGATAGAAGAATAAATCTACTCTTTTTTGTTTGCTTCTATTCAACTGTTCTGAGTTTTTCTCTTCTTATTTCCTATGGGGAAAAAAAGAGTTTATCACTGGATATGGAAAGCATGATAGCTTCATGGAGAAAGAGAGAGGTGGTGTTCCTCACGCTCTTTTATTTCTTAGWGAATAAAACTTTGTGAAGAAAGAGAGAGCAGAAGGGAGAATCTCATATGCCTTCTGACCTCCCAGACTCAAGTCATGCTCTAGGTTCCCCCCATGGAATAAGCCTCCCATCCAATCCCAAACTGGCACAGAACAAAACAACCAAAACACAGAAACTCTAATGCATTTTAATTGGGTTTTAGATTACCTTTGAGCATTGCTATTTCAACTGTGTGTCCTCTGACATTCTCCAGGCTAGTTACTTATTTAAATTATTGTGCTTACACGAAGGGCTTTTCCAACACTATTTCAAGGCCCTCTCACAAGAGTCCTAGATAGCTGCCAGGGGTCTGGGAAAGAAATGACACTCACCTGCTGCCTCCCTATGTCTTTATTYATGGAAAACTTTGAGGAGTTGGGCTGAAACCAAGCACCAGGTTGATACCTGACACCAGCACTGTGCCAGACTCTGGCTGATTTATAYTACAGAACAAAGCCAAATGGAAATACAACCGTATGAGGGGAAGGAGTTCGCACTGTGGAACACAGATGTGTGTAGCCAGCCAGCACCTGAATGGAGGTAGTCCATTTCAGAGTAATAATTTTGCTCTTCCTGTACCATTTTTATTTACCATAACACAAAAACCTTCATTAGCTGTTACCTGCTGAAACTTCACATTTCTCAAGACCATTGACACCCAGAATGTGAATGATCTGCGCACTGCCTCCAAGCTTGGATTTTGATTATCCTACAGCAAACCTTCAGTGAAGACATTTGCCACACAGGAGATTCTGGTTTGTGAAGTCATTTAATAGATCTCTGTGTGGCCAGGCAAGATGTGGAGCCCAAATACGTGCAATAGTTTWCAGATTTCATTGTATTCCCACACAAGCCTGTGCCCTGATTCTGCACCATTAACCTCTGAACTCTCCATGATCACAGCACCCATGTTTGGAGCAAATACAACTAAAGAGTCATCTGGCTAAAAAACATCTTAAACTATAATTTAAATGGTGCCACATCAATAGCTTAGCTTCCCAATAGTTGGCTTTCATAATAACTGTAGGCTCTAAAAGATTTTGACTTTTGTGTATGGAAAAGTGTATAAACAGTTTGCAGCTCCAGTCCCTATTTTTAAAAGGCTGATAATGTAGTAGTTTATAGTTCTAAGGGAGTTTTTAAATTCTTGTTTGTGTTGCTGGTTGTTGGGAGTGGGAGGTTGGTTTCAGGCTGTTGATGCTGCTCTCATGAAAGCATGTTAGTCTGGGACAAGAAAGGCTGAAAAGTTCCTTGGGTTGCATCCAAAATTTCCCATGAACTGGTGCCATCCCAGCAAGGGGGGCAGCTTGACATTGTATGAAAAGTCCCAAAGATGAGTGGAAGGAGAATTTGAATGGCTTTACTGTAGCTTTTTCCTTTCACAAACTCCAGGCTAAGAAATAACAAGGCAGTGGTAAGTGCTGTCACCAGCTGGGTCATCTACATGCATCTATCCACTCCTTGAAGGAACCATGCAAAAAGAAAGGAAGGATTTGGTCTGCTGGCCTTGGCCAAGTGTTCTTGTTCTTAAAAGTTTAATACCTGATATACCCTTGATGAGAGGATTTTATATTAAACAGACTTTGGGGCATGGGAGTTGGACTTGGAGCTTGCTTTGTCTGCTTCATGAATCACTGAAGTATTGCAGTGACTCTGGGAATGGTACACCGATAGGTTTGGGTGGCAGCAAAAGAGGGGTGGCCAGAAGGTCAAGGAAGGTGAATATTTCTCTTTACTCTACCCACATGAGACCCTACCTGGAGTTCTGCATCTGCTCTGGGGTCTCCAACATAAGAATGACATGGAAATGTTAGAGCAGGTCCAGAGAAGGGACACAGATGCTCCAAGGGCTAAAGCCCCTCTGCTCTGGAGACAGGCTGGGAGAGCTGGGGGTGTTCACACTGGAGAARGCTCCAGGRAGAGCTTAGAGCTCCCAGCGACAAAAGGGGGCTTATAATAGAGGGAGAACAACTTTTTTACRTGTAGTGATAGAAAAAGAGGAAATTGTTTTAAACTAAAAAAAGAGTATCTTTGGATTAGATGCTAGGAAGAAATTCTTCCCTGTGAGGTTACTGAGGCACTGGCACAGGAAAATTGTGGCTGCTTCACTCCTGGAAGCATTCAAGGCCAGGTTGGWCAGGGCATGGAGCAACTTGGTTCTAGTGCAAGATGTTGGATGTTTTGCCCTTGGGCAGCAGCTGAGGCCAACCAGGCAACAGGAAGAAAGCTGGCAGGAGCTGTGCACCACATTTRCAAAAGGCTGCCTGAGGTTCAATTTCACAGGGAGTTGTTTTGGTCACAACAGGCTCTGTTGGGTCTTGCATTATCCATCAGCACTGCAAGAGGTCTGGGTTCATGGTGTGGTGTCAGGAAATGTCAGGCTGCATTCAGGATGAGATGRCCAAAGAAAGGCATTGCAGTACTGCCAGGATCACCAGGTATATTGATTAGATCTCCAGATCAATTATTGTGCTGGGAAATGTCTGGTGACAATGCTCAATGCTGATCCTCAGCAGAGTCAATACGATATCCAGTAGGTGGAAACACTGATTTCAGCCTGGCTGAGATTGGCYATGCATAGCCTCAAGCATGGCCTTCATCAAATGAAAGCAAATAGCATCTGGGAAAAAAGACCAGACCACTTGTCCACCACTCCTGCAACCCCCTCTGCAGACACTTTAGCTCATCTCAAAGGGAGGTCTCTCAAACCTGCTTTTCATTATAAAAATGATTAATCTCAATTCTTGCTGAGAACAAAGGGACCTACAGCAGGATTTGCATCAAGCAAGGAAAACCAAGAAAAGAAAAGACCAATATATCATTTTATGTATCAGTCATGGGCTACTAGTTTTTGGTAAAAGAGCTGACAACAGCTGTGCCAGACCCAGAAGGGACTCGCTGTAGACACAGCTTGATAGAAATTACCAGGGAGCTGTGAAAACTCACTTCCTTTGAAATGGGTATGAGGCAGTTTGATTTTTGCTCCATTTAATGTGGGCTCAACAGGAGATGGAGATGGGTGCCAAAGTGAAGCCAAGCAAAAATCACTCAGACAAGCCTTCCCAATGCCTCTGCTGCTCATTAGTGCATTTGGTTACAGAAGCGTGAATTCCTCGTGCTTGTGCTAAACATTTTGGTATGGGATGAGTAATTTTGCTTCTATAACTTGAGTCAKCACTGGAGTTAGGCATAGTATTGCACACAGTCCTCCCAGTCCTTTCCACTCTCATATCTCTGGAGTGATCTTGTTTAATAATATTGCTCAAAGCACTTTTAATTTTAAACATTGTCCTGGATTAAAAAAAAAAAAAACAAAAAAAAAAAACCAAAACCCAAAATTACCTTTTTGGAGTTGAGTAGGTGGTCAGTCTTAAGTCTGGCTCTTCGCTCTGAGGTAGAGAAATGAGTTTTGCAGATTTAAAAACTGGTGCTTGAAGGAAGTTTATTGAAGTGCTGAAGAGAGAGAAACTGGTTGAATAACARCAATTATGGTTCATTTTCTGGAACTCAAAAAATTAATAAGTAGAAGGGCTTTTTTCCTGCAATATGAAAGCCATGTATAATAATAACCAGCATGACTAAAGAATAATTCTGTCAGCATCTCTGTTGGATCATATCAGATTTTTTTTATGTTTATTTTCTCATTTCCATCTTTCATTACRTCTGAGGAAGAAGAAAGATGCCAGGTCCTAGTTTCCACTCTGTTCTGCTTAAATAAAATTAGGCTAATTCATAACAACTCAGTAACTCACATTTCTTTTCTCAATGGAGAAACCTAAATCCCTTTCTGCTTGCCTTTCTAAAAATAGTCCAAATTATTTTCTGAGGAAAATCAATCCAGAAATACACATTTGTGATGGAGGAAATAATATTTCTTCCTTTTCATCTGAACAGGTATGAAGGAAAATTATAAATAAAATATTGATATTGTAAATGTCTTCAGTAATCAAAGAACTGGGAAATGAGAAGGGAAAGTGAAGATTTCAGTCATATCACTCACTGCTTTTCCCCTGGGCAAGGATTTTCATTAGAATGTGTCCTGATACTAATTGTCCATAATATAACTTTTTGTCCCTTTTCTCTCATGAATATGTTATGATTGCCATTTCAAAGGCAGACAATACTTTGGCAAAAAATAACTTAAAGACCACTTTATACATATATATAAATACATATATGATTTATATATATGTAAATAGTGATGTGAATTTGAATTGAACAGATGGCACAAGTCAGAGATGGAACTGTCCATATACTCCATGTACGTAAAGGACATAAGCTCTTCCTAAGAAATGGATTCAGGTAATGCACTAGAATTAGCCACATCAAACTGTGTGCTTTTTTTGTGGCTCATACAAGATCTATAAGAAAGACAACTAAGTGCCACCACTGGGAAAAGCTTTAAGAACAACCTGGCAAAACAAACTACAGCAAATGGGTCCCCATCTACTTGGAGTGAAATGGAGAGAAATGTAACAGGTTGTAAGGCAAAAAAAAAAAAAAAATGACACCTTTGAGTTGTATCAAGAATGAAATGTCTCCAAAGGTTTGTGTTCATTTGTTAAGAGAGAAGCTCTTTCTGATGASCCCAGTGATCAATGTCTCAATGGAATGTACATCTGTTCCCTGATGATTCAGGACTTTGAGCTGCTCCCAGTGGCAAACCATTCTTCACTCTGTAAATATTCCAACTTAGATCTGATGAGTAAAATGTAGTAAAAATCCACATCTTGACTAGTACTTCCCCTCCTATCAGCTGCTTTGTTTTCACTGTGCTATTACTGTTATTTTTGGACACAGCAACCCATATTTCCTGCTAAGGCTCGTTTCCACTATAATTTATAGTCTTATTTCCACAGTGGTTTGAAGGTTCTTTGGATTGCAATCAAAAATACACTGTTTATCTTACTCATTTGGGTCCAGTGGTCGTCTGCCTGAGACATGGTGGGCTCATCTATCCAGGAGAATGCCTTGAGCAGTGTAGGAGYTGTACACAAACCACTCCTGATGCTCCTTGCTGATGGATGGCAATTTTCAGGCAAGAGGCACCACACCCTTCTCCTATATGGAGGCTGCTCTACCAGAAATTAGAGGAACTATAAGTCTTCTTCCTATATATAAGTCTTCTTCCTATATATAAGTCTTCTTCCTTCCTGGAAACCCAGGCAAATCTTTGGAGTCATAATAATCTGGAGGGATGGGTCTTCTTTTCAGTTCCTGCCTTCCTTGGCAGACATTTGTCTTTTAAACTAAGACATGAATTGGCACCCAATGTAGGGCTTTGAGAGGAAAGGATGAAAAGAGAATCACAGTTCACTGGCGACTCATTTGTGAATTGGATATAGAAATGCTACTAASCATCACCATGTGGTCCAGCTTACCCTGGTTCAGTTGGCATATGATCATAGTAATGTTGGGTTTTTGGTTTTTTTTTCCCCCCTTTTGCCAGTCATTATCTAAACATGGACCCTACAATTAAGGCCACTGTGGTTGTTACCAAGTTTGCAGAATAAGTCAGTTRGATGAGGAATTCAATGCTTGTAAATCTCTTTTTGAATGTGTGCACATGGCTATCTAACTATGATAGCCTAMGTTCATATCCTTGGGTTTTCTCTAATAATGGTACCAATTGTGGGGGAAGAATGCAGGGATTTTTTTTTTCTCCCAACATTTCTTCAGGTCTACCACAACAGCTTTTGAAAAGCTTAAATCCCTCTAAATGCTAACCTTATCATATTCTTGCTGATGTTTYTGCTAAGTTTATTCAATACAGTTCATTCAACATTTAAATACAGGATGAGGTTGCCTTGGGTTATGCCARAATCTGTCCCAGAGATTAGAGATGCTGCTCAGACATCTGCCACAGAGGTGAGGGACACTGCCCAGCAGTACCAGCAGCAGAGTAAAGGCTGATGGAACAGCAGTGCAACCAATAGACATTGCAACTGTCCAGGTTCCAGCGGAGCCACAAGGGCAGCCACAGCCAGCAGCAGTCACCCTGAGCAGAGGGGGAAGCATAAAACCAAATCAGTATGCACAGTTATGATGATGAGGGCCCTCACAACCAGCAGAGCAGCCAGAGACTCAAATCCTCACTCAGTCTCTGTCATTTGACAGTCTGCCATCTGCGAAAAGAAGTTCCTTGAGGGGAGGACATTTCATGGAAAAGGTTATTCTGGCCTGATTGACTTAAGTTTTGGACCTTATGGTTGCAGGGTGTACAATCTGATGGCACCAAAGCAAAGTTTGTGGGGTYCTTGGCTCTGGATGTGGGTATCAAGCAGGTATTTGTGARGGAGMAAGGACCYCTTTCTCTCTGGGAGCAGCTTCTAACTAGTGTAAGGGAGAGGTTTAGACAGAWACACATTTGAACTTATATGGAAAAGTCTAAATTTTAATTTGATTTATGCTTGTAACAACATCAATGTTTATACTAGTAAATACAATGCATGTATGGTAATCCCAATCTCAGCTGAAAACAGTCCAGCTAACCCCAGAAAAAAAACCCAGTGCACAGAGACTGACAGCATCATCTCCCTGTATTTGTCTTTATGCAAAGCACCAACTAAGGTGTCCAAGGAATGGAAAATGAGATCTCTTGTACAAGTCCTTTCAGAGTGCATTGGATAGAGCAATGAATACCCTTAGGGGCTGATTTTCCTTCCAAGTGCCC